GGGAGATTTAACCAGAGTTCATTCATGCTTGTAACTTTAACTGTACCTAACTTATTGATGACTCCCAAATCTCCACTTCTAGTGCCACTAAAATCTCTGAGCACAGAATTCTTGAGGCAGCTTCATAAGTCAAAGCTCTAAGCTGGAAGGGACTTAACACTGAAAGAGAACACTGGATCAGCACTGGCTATGAAGAAGACATTGTACTATGTGCTTTACACATATTATCTCAAATAATTCCCAAATAATTCTCAAATAATTGTTACTTAATTCTCTTAAGTAACAATCTCTACTTTACAAAACATGAAAACGCCAAAGATGCACACAAAGTGGTTGAGATTAAACCTTAAGTCTGATTCTGAAGTCTACCTTATTTTTGCTTTATTATACTTGATTCTTCTTTTTATCAACACAGCGATTGGACTCCAGAGATGTTACAAGTTGGCTGAGATGAAGCCATTTTCTGATGGCACAAATACTGTCTCCCAGTTAAATGCTCTCTGAGCATTGCCATATTAAGCTCTCTTTAAATTCCCTGATCTGTCTTTCCTATGTTAATCTAGAGCTAGTTAGGGTGCTTATTCTGTCAAATCGTTTTCTGATATATATCTTACCTTCTATCCATGCATTATCTCTTTGCTTTTACACTATAGTTTAGGCCCTCATCAACAGCCTCCTAAACTAGCCTCCATCTATCTCCTCTTCTAATAACTATTTGCATATGGGCTAGTCATTTCCTTTCACTGAGGCTCTTAGGTATAAAATACCTACAATACAGAACTGTGAAATTAAGTAAGCTCAATTACATGTAACCATCGATAACACCAATAACTATTTGCAAACAGTTCAAAGCCAGTCCGGGCATTCTAGTTCTGAGACCCTATCTCAAAAATATCCAACATAAAAAAAGGGGGGTGGAGTGGTTCAAGCAGTAGAGTGCCTGCCTAGTAAGCATGAGGCCCTGAGTTCAAACCACCATCAAAAATAATAATGATAAATCTGAGATAAATTTCTATCTTTATGCACACACATTCACACAAAAGATTAGTTTTTTATTTAATCATTTTGATTTTATATTTGTCTTTTCCCTCACACTGAAAATCTTAGTTCCTAATAATATTAATAACTTTTTTATCAACAACTACATTTATACCTATCTAGATAAGTAGCAACTAAATAATAGTACTGTATTACCAAAATTAGTAAAATAGTGTATTTTTTGGTAGTTGTTTCTATATTTAAGCTATATCTCACTTAGAAAGTACAGTGAAATTACTGTTATAAAGTTACATCACATAATACTTAAGTGTTTACCTCAATACTATGATTCACCGATTTGTTTCATTTTAGTTATTTTGTTAAGGATCACCTCCCCATTTCAATTTAACTTTGCTTTATAATTATGTAAAATATTTACACGGTTATAATGTCAAAATAAGGCATTTTTGTTGATATTTACCTCTGTCTTCTCCTATTTAGCCTTTTGTTTTGTTTTTTGGTTTTGGCAGTTACTGGGGTTTGATCTCAGGGCTTCATACTTGCTAGGCAGGTGTTCTACCACTTGAGCCACTCTGCCAGCCCTCAGTACAGTTTTAATTTGAATATCTCTTATTGTCAGTTAAGTACCTTTTCATACACACGTGTATTATTTTTCTGCGAACATCTTTTTTCTTTTCTCTCTCTCATTTGTTTTTTTTTTTTTTTTTTAATACTGGGGTTTGAACTAGAGCCTTATGTTTCCTAGGCAAGCTCTCTACAACTTGAGCCACACCCCCAACCCTTTTTCTTTAGTTATTTTTCAGACAGGGTCTGGTGCTTTTTCCTTGGCCAACCTTAGCCCTTGATCCTCCTACCTTAACTTCCCGCATAGCATATGACACCATACACACATTCCTCTACTAATAGCTTTAGTCCATTTTTCTATAGAGTTGTTGATCTCTCTTAAGAGCTCTCTGAATATTAGGAATGATAAAAGTTGCAAAATTTTTTTGTTTTCCAAATAGTCTTTTTAGTTTGCTCAGTTTTTAACCTCCAAATTTTTCTTTTTATTTATGTAATCATATTTGTCAATCGTGCTTTTGGATTTTAAGTCAAAGTTAGGAAACATTTCCCCCATTTCCAGGATGTGAGGGGTTCCATCACATTTATGGATTCAAATAAAAGAAAAAGGAAAAAAAAAAAACAAAAACATTTATGGATTCAATTTTTGACTCACTTAAAATTTATTTTGGTGTATGCTGTGAGGAATGGAATAATTTTGACTTTATATTAACATATTTAAATAGGCTTGCTTTACAGGTTTTATAGTCTGAGCGTATGTATTCACCCACCCATTCGGTCTAAGCAAAAACCAGTATGTGTAACACTAAGGCTAGGGAATTTCATAATTTATTTTTAGAAAATTAAAAGTTCTATTTTCACAGAACGAAAACCATACTATGACCTTCTGTACTATTGCTATTAAGTGCTTTGAAAGTACAATTTTTGCAACTATGGGAATAAACCATGTTCCCTCTAGTTGTACCAGGTAAGATAAAATTAAACCAAAGATAACCAGCTCTTGGGTTGAAGATATTTGTTAGTTAAAATTAAGGTTAAAAATATAAATTAAAACTAAATGGAAGCCTTAAAAGTATTCAACATCTTTTTAAATGAAATTTAATCAGTGTGATTCTGTGGCTAGTTCTTATTGCCTGGTGGGGGTGGGGGATAGGAAAAGAAAACCCAATGTTTCTGAGACTCAATTCTGAAAATGCATTAGGAGTATCACCTATCATTTTTATTTTCGTTTATTCATAAGTGCATACAATGTTTGGGCCATTTCTTCCCCCTACCCTCCACCTCCTCCCTTCCCCCCCACTCCCCTCCCCTACCTCCTTGCTTTCCAGGCAGAAACTGTTCTGCCCTTATCTCTAATTTTGTTGAAGAGAGAGTATAAACAATAATAAGAAGGACAAAGTGTTTTTGCTAGTTGAGATAAGTATAGCTATACAGGGAGATTCCTAGCATTGCTTCCATGTATATATGTGCTACATTCTAAGTTGATTCTTCTCAAATTGACCTTTTCTCTAGTTCCTGATCCCCTTCTCCTATTGGCCTCTGTTGCGTTAAAGTTTCTGCATTAGTTCATTTGCACTGAGGACATCAAATGCTATCTAATTTTTTGGGTTTCTTACCTATCCTCATACCTCCCCTGTGTGCTCTCACCTTATCATGTGACCAAAGTCCAATCCCCTTGGTGTATTTGCCTTTGATCTAATGTCCGCATATGAGGGAGAACATATGATTTTTGGCCTTCTGAGCCTGGCTAACCTCGCTCGGGATGATGTTTTCCAGTTCCATCCATTTACTTGTGAATGATAAGATTTCATTCTTCTTCATGGCTGAGTAGAATTCCATTGTGTATAAATACTACATTTTCTAGCAGCGTATGAGGGTTCCTTTTCCCCCACATCCTCGCCAGCACCCGTTGTTGGTGTGTTTCTAATGATGGCTATTCTAACAGGGGTAAGGTGGAATCTTAATGTGGTTTTGATTTGCATTTCCTTTATAGCTAGAGATGTCACCCACCATTTTTAATGCTCTCAATTTTTAAATTAATTCTTTCTCACACTGATATTATATAAGAAATGAAAAAATTAAATAGTTAAGTCAGCAGCATAATTAGAAGTAATACAAGCTAGAAACTACTATCAGAGCTTATTATGGTACATAAAGGAGAATGAATATACAATATTGTGAATAATTTAAGTTAGATATTACTTTCATTCCCACCTGCTATGTGCTAAGTTCTAAACAAATCTTCAGAAAGAATCAAATTTTACAGATGAGAAAGACAGAACAGATTTGTAAAATCAGATCTCCAGAACAATAAAGTCTCACTCTTTCACTTTAACCACAGGCAGATAAGAATTCATTATTCTACTCTTATCTATCATAGAGAGCAAGGAAAGAACAGGTAATAAAAATCAACAGAAAACCTTCAGTCTCATTTGGCTACTGGGTTCAGTTCAGTCTTTGTCTTAAAGCTATTAATTTCACCTACATTACAAGAACAAATAGTCTGAACTGCAGCACTGTAAACCAACTACTCTCTCAGACAGTGATATTAAAGAGCTGGGAAACAATCATAAAACAGGCAAGAAGGAGATGGTGGAAGTCCTAAATGGCATATTACCTACTGGAAACCTTCATTTTAGAGATGCCAAAGTGACAGTTCAGAGTTTGTGACCTGAACGAAATTAGTCGGGTTGCAGATCTTCTGAGTTAATGCTCTGTCCTATATTCCACTGTGCTGATTGATTCGAGATGGTAAATGTGTAGTTGGGAATTATCACCCTACTGCATAAAAACCTGCCCCTAAAAACAAAATTCTATAGACATTGCTTACAGGGAGGGGACTAAAAGGATAACTATACTATAAAATCTCTGCAAAATATAGTAAACATTTTAAAAGGATGTATTTATTCCATGCCAGAAATATGAAGCTAAAGTAAAAAAAAGTACTACGTACCTAGTAGATCAGTTACTGGTGCTAGAGTGAGGAGATAAATGACTAACTCAGACTCAAAGAAAGTAATTTCCAACATTTAGGATTAAGTTCACTGAGACTATCCTCCTTATTAAAGAAAGTTAAATCTAAGTGTCTCCTTTATAATTATGTAACATTTTTGATGAAAATAAAGACTTCTAAAAGTTTTTTCAAAATGTACTAAAAAGACCTAAAGTCAAAAGTATTTCTTCTAAAGTTTCTTAAATTTCTGAGGACACTACTAAATTATAAGTGAAATAAACTGACAGAGGATAACTCTAGGTGTATTATTTCTCAGCACTAAAATCAACTTATTTCAATAATATAGCATTTGTAATACTTCAAAATACCTTCAGAGTTAGAAGACAGATCCCAAATTACTTGTTAGAAATGAAAGCTGTCCAAATCTATCCAAAGTTTCTGTTTTTCCTATGTTTGGGAAATGTCTCTTAGGAAAAGAGACATGTACCTTTCCATGACAGCCAGGCACTCCTTTCTCCAGGTAAATCGACTCCCTCGTCGGAGTCGGAAGGTCCCAGATGTGGCAGAGACAGGGGGAGGTGTTTGTCTCCATTCAGGGTCCTCTAGTGGAATGGGGGCAGGTCTCATACTTAATGTAGCTCCTGAAATAAACAAGGCATTTTCAGAAAATATCTTATAATTTATTAAAATCAGTATGACAAAATACCACATAAACAGTAACAATGAACTCTTGAGTATAGTTACTTTGTTCTTCCCTTAAAACTTATAGGCCAATATATTTAATATTTATATTTTGAAAAATTTGATCAAAATAAAAATTTGAAGATGTAAAACACTCTCCCGTAACAAAAGTCTACCATTAGTTTTTTAAAATGTCACTGCTTCCCATCTGGTCATTTGTCTACAGTCTTTGTAGAATTTTTTTCAAACCAAGCAAAAAATCCACCTCCTCGTGGGAACAAGGAAGGTGATCTTCGATTTAGTGACAGTTTAAGCAGTGTACCTGCCTCTGAACAAATTCTCTTGAAACTCCTACTCAACAGCTGTAATCTTTTTGATCACTACACTCTAGATGTTCAGAACCTTCAATTGCCACTGTAAGGGCTTAAGAGCACTTACAAAATGTATTTGGGTAAGACATGAAAAGAAAATAACTAATTGTTGTAAACTATTTTTTCCAAAAAACTGAAGTCAGGGGCTGATGGTTCAAGCAGTAGAATGCCTGCCTAGCAAGAATGAAGCCCTGACTTCAAACCTAGGTACCACAAAAGGAAAAAAAAAAAAAAGTTTAAAAAAAGCCAAGGTAGGCATGGCGATGCACATCTGTAACCCCAGCACTTGGGATCACTAACTTCAAAGCCAACCTAGATTACACACCGACTTCCAGGCTGCTCTGGCTATATAGCAAAACATTGTCTCAAAAAACAAAACCAAAAAAAAACAGTCAAACATAGCAGCAAAACAAAAATACGACAATATTTACAGTATTTGATATGCATTTAGTTTACTAATTCAATCAGGTCTTTACAAGTCTACTACCTATTGATACTATATCATATTCTTTTACCTCTTGAGTATAATAAAAGTTCAATAAAAAAAAACTACGAGATAGTTTACTAACTCAGATGAGCATTTTCTCAAATAGCTTGAACAGGTGATGATGCAGTTATTCATTAATTCACCGTTTTTCAAACCCCTTTCCCATAGCTTGCTCTAGGCTATAGATCTCCTCCTCCAAATTTTCTCTTCCTCCGCCTACCTCCCACCCCCTTTTGTTTCTTTTTGAAGCAAGGTCTTGCTATATTGCCCAGGCTGGTCTTTAATTCTTGACCTCAATCGATCTCCAAAGTAGCTGGGACTGCAGGTATGCACTAGCATGCCTGGGATGCCCACTCTCCCTTTTGAGAAATGATCTCACTATGTAGGCCACCCTGGCCTTTGAACGCACTATGCAACCCATGCTGGCCTTGAACTTATAATCCTCCTGCCACTGACTACCATGTACCAGCATTACGGGCCTGAACTACCATGCCCAGCTCTGATTTTTCTTTTTAACATATTGTCTTGCAATCTTCCCCATCTCAATAAATCAATCCCCATTTTTTGCTCAGCTCAAAAAAATCTCAGATTTCTCTACTCCCACATACTACACAACCAGCCCATAGTTAATTCTATTACTTATATCTTCAAAATATATCCAGCATCAGAGTAATTTTTATTATCTGCATGTTCTACTTTAGAACAAGCTAGCATCATCTGTCGGAATCATACATTCCAGGGATAGGTTCCAAAGATGGGTCTTCATAAGCCATGCCTCCTGGTAATCATGCTCTGAAATCTGGGCACTGTTGATGAAGCACATGGGGAAAGTTCAAGGACAGATCACAGGAAGCTTTGCAGCTTCTGCTCAACTCCTGGAATGGTGTCTCAGTTGCCCTAGAAGAAATTAGGCTAACCTGAGACTTTGATGTCAGCAAACCCGAGCTAGCCTTGTAGAGAGGGCACATGGAGTGAAAGATATCCCAGGTGCTCCTGACACTCTATCCAGGTGCCAGACAGTTGAGGAAAAAAACACATTGAACATTCCAGCCACAGAAGATACCATGTGGAGCACTCTAGAACCCAGCTAACAGAGAAACAAGGATCCAGACATACATGTTCAGCACAGCCATGTGGAAGCCAGCCTCCAAGGACCCTAGGATCCATGCCTTCTGGTATCCATGCCTCTGTACAGTGCTTTTCCATACTGCACCATGATTGGTCGGCGTGACCAACAGCATGTGGTAGTGATGTCACCCTCCAGGATTACATTATATATGACACCATGGCATCTGTCATAGTTGTGCTCTTGTGTTCATCCTTTCTCTCTCTCCCTCTCATTCTCCCTCCCTGTCTCTCATCATGTGCTCACAGGAGAACTAGCTGCCATATGTGAGGACGTTCAGGTAGTGAACAGTGAGGCCCTTGATGAACTGCTGTGACTAGTCAACAGGCAGTAAGGAACTGGGGCCTGTCAATATTGGCCCTGAAAGTGGAGTGTCCAGTTCCAATGACTGCAGCCCTGGCTACAAAGCCGTAAAGCTTGAAGACAACCTCATGAAAACTTTGAGCCTGAACCACTCAGTTCAGCAACTCCTGGATTCTTGATCCACGAAAACCGAGAAAACAAATGTTTGTTAAGCTGCTAACTTGTGGGGTAGTTTGTCGTGTAACAATAGATAATACTTCTCCACTTGTTTATTTCCCCATATCCTCTAACACAATAAGGAGTGTTATTTATTCAGGTGTATAAATTTGGCTGAGAAAATTCCCTTTAAGATAAGACATTTCACTAATAGTAAGACTAAACATTTTTTCCTGTTTACTGACCATTGTATGTTTTTTCTTATTGTTTGTCCCTTTTTCTTTTCACTTACTGGTTTTATTGGTGTGTAGAAACCATATTAATTACTCACATAGGTTGCAATTATTTCTTTTAGTTTGTCATCTGTGTTTTATCTTTTTTATGATGTTCTTTCTGATCTTAATCTTATACAGTCAAATATGTCAATAGTTTTTATTATGGGTTTGAAAAATCATTCAGAATGTTTTAATATTCATTTTGTGTTTAGCACTTAATAATATATAATTCTTCCTAATGTGTGATGTAAACCAAATATTTAACTTTTCTTATTCTCAAATAATCAAGTGTGCTTTGGAGATTCATGGCACAAAATAAGAGTTGGCAAACTAGGGCCCACTGCCTATTTTCATAAATGAAGTTTTACTGGATGATGGTCATATTCATTAATTTACATATTGTCTATGATTGCTTTTGCATTATTATTGCAGAGGTGAGTAGCTGCCACACAGATCAAATAGCCCCAAACCTAAAATACCTACTAACTGGCCCTTTACAGGAAGAGTTTACCAATTCCTGGCTTAAAAACGTTCCTGATCTATTCATCCACTATGAAACTAAAATGAAACCCTTCTTTAAACAGTTAAAAAAAAAAAAAAGTTCCATTTTGTCAAAATAACCTGGATATTTGGCTGGGCCTAATTCAAAGTCTGTTTTGTTATAGTTCCTAAAGCAAGCATAGATTAAAGTATAATAAGAGCTCTGGAATCTGGCTAAAATAAGGTTATATAAGTTTTATTCTAGAGCTAGAGTTAATATTATTAAGCCTTTAAAAATAATATTCTGTACTGTTTAGATTTTCTAAAAAGAAATTTAGATGAAATAAAATTGGTCAGAAAGGGAAAAAAAGAGGAAGAGAGAAAAAGGGGTGTGAAAAGAGAGAAGTAGTGACCTGGTTGTTTTGAAAAAAATCAAGACAATTTACATACCAAAGGTAGAAGTTGAATAATTTAAAATTTGTAAACATAATTAATTTAAAACATTACTGGAGTAGAGGGAAAAATCATCACATTACTTTTGAGGGTTTTTTTTAAACTTATTTCTTTTTCAACGTAGAACTAATTAAAGATAGCCCAAGGGAAACACTCTAATATAGATTTCTTCTAGAAAACTCAGGTTATCTTGTTTTGGTCAAAATGAATGGAAAGCAATGAATGATTCAAGAACAGACTCAAAATTATTGATTGTGATAGAAAAATACAAAGATAACAGAATGCAGGAACACTACAGATAAGCTTTAAAACTCCTCTGAAGTAAAATATGAGTTCTGGGCTGGCTAAAAGCCACTACAGGAAAAATGTGTTACTTCTTTCTTTTTGGTTTGTTTGTTTTAAGGTCTCACTATATAGCCCAGGCTGGACTGGAACTCAGTATATAGTCCTAGCTGACCTCAAACTCATGATCCTCCTGCCTTAGTTTCCCCAGGGCTGAATTCACATGTATGAATCATCATGCCCAGCATGAGCTCTCATTTAAAACAATATATTGCACCTTCATCTACCAGCAAATCTAAACCCATAAGAAAAAAAATTCTTCATAATTTGCCAAAATATTCCAAAGTTTTGGCAAACGATCTGTCTATAAATATGATTATCTTGCTTAACAGGGCTAAATTTGGGTGAAGCTTTATTAATCAGGTAGTAAAAGAATGACTACATCATTCATTTGCTCCATGTGGGAAAAAAAGGAGTAACTACACACACATTTTCTATCCATAGAAACTAGCTTTTCCCAAAGTCATTTCTCATCTTCTCTTATGTCACTACATGCTTCCCTAAGCTCTAACACTTTGTGTGTGAAGGAATGAGTATTTCTTCTGATCTCCACACTTACTTCATATGCATAAGCCTCCTGGCAGACTTTAATTGTTTAATATTGAAGTATGCAGAATCAGTGCCATGAGCCAAGAGGTACTCAGCAAGCCTTGTCTGCTACCATAATGTTTAAATTAGATGAAGGAAAAGACTGTTGAGTTTAATTTGATTAAATAAACAGGTTCTTTTGATATCAACCATGCTGAATTTAGCACTTGGTTCTTTAAAAAAAAAATAGGCATTTTCTTGTAAATGTTTTCATAAGAAACAAGATAAAGTACATCTGATTAGTTTCCATCAGCCTATTTTATTTATAAGTCTTGGCAAGCTTTGGGTTATACTGAGAAATTCTGATGATGGGTCTGTTATCAGAGAACTACATTGTGTCTATAGCTATTGAATTGTCAGTAAAATTAACCTGAATATCCATTCTATTCTTTTTCTTGCTGAGTCCATGTAAAGAGAACCTTTTAAAAAAAGAAAAAAAGAAAGAAAACCCAACAGATATATGGAATACAGAACATTTTGCTTGTTATCCATATGCTTATAGTTACTGAAGAAAAGCAAAAAAGTAGTCTTACTTTGTGATTTTTTTCCCTAATTTAGCATTTTTTCACAAACGCGATTTTTTGATGTTATGTAATATTTCCTCGCAGCACCACTCCTTTCTTCCATTATACTTTATTATGTACTTTTCAAATGTGTAAATACATGGTCCAAAATTTAGATGGTCACAGAAGGTTATGTAGTTAACATTCTCTCTATTGCTCCCATACCACCAGCTCCCTCCCCAGAGCTGTTCTTACTAGTTCCTAATACTGCATTTCAAAGAGTTTCTACACTTACATAAGCATTTTATAAGGGCATGTGTATGTCCTTCTCCCACATAAACAATAATATACCATACATTGTCTTATACCTTGCATTTTTAACTTCTCGGCTCCCTATCACCATATATAAATTTAAATACTAAGAGTGTCTTTAAACTCTATACAGCTCTACAGTGTTCCATTGTATACCTGTGATTTAACCAGTTCTCAAGGGATTCTAACCATGTCTGTAATGACTTCCAAAGAAGAATCTAATGTACAGTAAGCAAGTACTGATCTGAGAGAGAAAGAGGATAAGCTATTCTGAGATGTCATCCTATTTTAGTTCATCTTATTCAAATATCCACAGAACAAGAAACAATACTATCCTTTAGCTAAAATCAAAGGTTAAAGTCAACAAAACTGCATTTATCCAGAATTTTATGCCATATGAGCTCTTATATTAAAGGTGAAAATGCAAAGAAAAACTTTAAAAAATTTTAAATTCCAATTGCTAATATTCAATTGTTAATGCAGCAAAAACTACCTACTGACATTTATTAAATTACCATTTTCTCTTTAGCTACTTTTAAATTATGTCCTACAGAAAATGTAAGAGGTACTTAAACTGCTTTTGTTGAAAAGCACTGACTCCTTACTTGGGCCCAAAAATTACCTAAAACCAGGAAAAAAGCTTGGCACCTCGGCTTCCAATTTATACCCATTGTCCTATCCTCTGAACCATTTTCTCCTGTAGCCACCATGGAATCAAGGAAGGACAGGGCTGACTGATAACATCTTTATGACAAGGGACTGAAACTACCCCCTAAGGAACAGTGAAGCCTTGCAGGACAAACCATTCCTCCAAATGAGGACAATTACCTATAGAGATGAGGCTGCATCCTGGAGCAGGAGTAATCATCTCATGGGAGCCAGATTGTTCCCTTCAAGTGATAATAGTGACAATGACTTCTCCAGAATATTTTCTCTAGAAGCCCAGAAAATCAGAACTGAGATAATGACCAACCAGGTCACACCTGTGAGCAGGACCGTTTAACTATGCATAACTTTTGTTCCCTGAACTAATTATCTACTTATAGCAAAGCTCATGTCTACTCCCCGAAGATGGCTGAAGAGGGGCTGAAGTGCTTACTTTGCCTAAAATATCCTTTGACATTCTAAGTGCCAAATTGAAGAAATACAAACCACTTCCCCAACACAGCTGATTAGTACCTGTTCCAAATTCTTTATTGCTCTGCCTTAGACCTGTTGGAACACCCTGATAAATTCCTCTGGTAGTCCCTCTGGAGTTAACCAGTCCCTGGTGATCCCAATGGCTAGTTATGGAATGTGACCAGATTTACAAACACGACAGGTACCATTCCTTGTTTACCCAGCTGAACCCTTGCTATCAGCCTAAGCTGTTCTAGTAAGCAGACTAAATGATAAGTTTCTTTCACTCTTCCATCTGACTTGCTCTGCTATGAACCATGGAAAAGTAATGTCATCTTTTCGGAAGACTGCTTAGTATCAAGTTGGAAGTGCTGTTTGAACTGTATCTTAAAACTGTGTTGGTTTCATATGGTAACCATCAGCCATATGTGACTACTGAGCACCTGAAATGTGTCTGGTTGAAAACATATGCTTTAAGTGTAAAATATATTGGATTTTAATTAATCAGGACAAGACAGGAGGGATCTCTATTTAAAAAATATTAAATATTTGCAAAAATAAACTTAATTTTCACTGCTTCTTTCTGCTTTTTGAAATGTGGCTACCAGAAAAATTGAAAATTACATATGCCATTTGTAACAGCAGTCATTATTTCAAGACATTTGCTTATCATTAGAAAATATCTAAAAATGAAAGCTCTTCTTTGTAGAAAAACTTCCAGCTGATAAATGCTGAAGGAATGGATTTGATTATCTCATTTTACAATTCCCTTTGGATTCAGGCAAGGATCACTAAGGAATACCAAGCCTCGGGAGAATGGATAATGCAGAAGAGAATATTCAACCAGTGGCAAACCGGTGCCCTAAAGATTATTTACCACCTGCAAAGTTTGTAAGATGGTCTCCACCTTAACAAAACGATCAAATTTATCATATAGATAGTGCTACAACTTGACATCACAGGCCTGATGAGATGTGGCAAAATGAGACTAACACATTGTGTATATAGTATTTTCTCTCTTTTTTTTTTTTTGGTGGGACTAAGGTTTGAACTCAAGGCTTCATGCTTGCAAAGTCACAATTGTGATTCTGCTTGAGCCACACCTCCAGCCCATTTTGCTCTGATTACTTCGGAGACAGGGTCTTGAAAACTGTTTGCCTGGGCCCACACATCTACCCATTTCCCTATCTCAGTACCCATAAATTCATTTTATTTTTCATTGTATTTCAATGCAAATTACTGTCCTTAGTATAGGTCTCACTAAATAATCTATGGAGTATTCTTGATAAAAATATTCAACCTGAATCTAATGAAACCTTTAATTCTAACTTCCAGTGTATTAAATACAGAAGATAAGAAAATAAGTTATTTGACAATAAAAGTAAATCATTCTGAAAAATCCAGAATGTGAGACATCTATAAAAATGCATGGTTTAAAAATAAAAAGTTTGGGTGACTAGAACTAAGAGTCTAAGAAAGCACTCTAATTTGCCAATCTAAAACACATACTAATTAAAAAAGACAGAGAGCAAACTACAAAAGACATTTTTACAGTTAGAGAAATGTGGCGATAGACTAGATAGTAGCTAATATTATGAAATTATCAATTTTCTTAAGTGGAACAATAGGGCTTGTGGTTATATAGAAAATTGCTCTTATTATAACCTTACACACACACACACACACACACACATGCGCGCACACACACACACACCTTAAAGTATATTTATTTTATACAGATAAAAGCAAATACAGCAAAATTTCACCATTATTGTATTGAAGAAGAAGGAAAACTAGTTGTTTACTGTGCTGATCTTTCAAATTTTCTATACATCGGAATCACTTCAAAAGACAAAATGGGGGGGTAGGATAAATTCTAGAAAATTCACTGTACAGCAAATGATATGGCCTATGGTGTTTTGTCTTACCTAGGCCTTTTGGATTTGAAAAATGTGGTTTTTAGGAAAAAAATTAAAAACCTTATCAGACACACACACTTACTCACAAATATGCCTATAGAGCCAGTGCTATTATCATGCGGTATTCTAACTGGTAACTTAGTCTATATGTAAAGAAAGGCTTTATAGCAGTAGCATTACAAAAGACAGCTCAATCATAAGTTTATAGATTTCAACCTGTTTTCAACCTACTATGGGCCCATGGTACCATCAGAGAAGCTTCATCTTAAAATCCAAAGACACATTTATTACCCAGGTCATTAGACTTAGAAACAGAAAATCACTGGAAATGGTACAGCATGAACTAAATAAAAATACTAAGCTCATATTACAACATTTTTCCAAAAGGAGAAAAATTATGTATCTACAGTTGAAGAACAGAAAACCTGCCACTGACCATTCATGAGCATTCTTTCAAACTATAGCCAGAACTTCATATAACCTGGAAGCAAAGAGGTGTCTTAAGAGGAAGGGGGCGAAACACAAAATGTTAGACAAAAACCAAAAATTATTATAATCAGGGCTTAGATTTGACAGGTGTGTATGTGTATGTATATGTATGTGTAAAGGTACAAAAGGAAAATATGAAACTACGGTATTGAACAAGTCAGCACATGAAACAATAATTACATTTGTCTTGCTTCTGATGCAATAAATAAAAAGAAATGGTAATTACCAGGGTTTGTCTTCTCAAGTTGATACCAACGGTAAAATGCTCTTTTCTTCTGTTCACTCAGGTCTGATCCCTGCTGCAACAGCCAGTGAGAGATTCTGCTTTGACTGATACCTATGCAGAAAGAAAAATAGCATTTGGGGGACACTGAAATCACGGTGGAGTTAATGAGGGCTCTGATGGTTCTAGTTACTGGGTGGTTTACTCTCTGTCACTGTGTAATGAAGCTGCAACTGGAGCAAATTCCTTAATACTGGTCTGACTGTACCAGCTAGGATATTCTCAGAAATTACCTATTAGAAGTCAAAATATTTTATTAACCAAGACTTTACAGTGTCTTCTAAAGTCAGTCTCCAAACGAGGTGTGTGAACATGAAGTAAATGAAGGAATTCCTAAGTAACCATTTACCATAACTGTCACTGCCCTCCATCCACATTTGAGTCAGACTATTAGAACTTTTAACAGGTACTGAGAGAGAAAAAATCAAATCAGCAAGTTTGGCTTCTTATTACTGATACTGACAAAAAGATTTAGGGGCTAAGAATGGAGAGGTCATTGAAAATACTATCTTCAATAAGGTTTTTGCCTTATTTGTTAATTTATTGAGGCATTTTTAGACTCATTACTGTAAGTATGAGATGTAAGAACTGGAAGACTTTTAGACTTATACGGCAATATGACCTCTAAAGAAATCCTAGCAACTAAAAATGTTCTTTCAGTACATGTACTTTCCCCCGAAAAATGGTATAAAACAGGAATTTTCTGCTATCACTAAGAAGTTTTTGTCAGAATTACTTAGAAATGTAAAGAATCCTCACATCTGACAGTAAAAAAGCATGTCTAAAACTTATACATACTCATTCCCATCATTATAGCTACTTGAAAAAAGGAGTAATTCAATATACAACTGGCAAAAGCAGAGTTTGAGGAAAGACAAAAGATGTCTTATAAAGTCCAGAAGTTACTTTCCAAAAGACCAGCCAGCTACGATAGAGGTTTACCAATACCTTAAACCCTCCCAAGGAATTACTTAATGGTAATGGGATATTACTGAATACCACTTGTGCCAACAGCTGCTTAAAGCTATGATGTCCAATTGGAAGAGTGGCTATCATGAAGTAATCACAGCTCCCAAAGAGGAGAACAAGCAGGTCTGGCAACCACATTTAATGCACTAAAAGCAAGCTCCTAGAGTTTCACACACTTAGAAACCTACATCAAGAGAAAACTCAAGGAAATTGGGAGAAGAGTGTTAAAAGAAAGACCATGAAGTCAGATTCTCTGACTAGAAACATCTTTCTGTTTCAGAGGGCAAAATTCAAACTATTTTCTGAAACCTGGGTGATTATGTTCTTAAGTAATTCAGAGCTGTTTTCCAATGAATTGAGAGGTATTCGAAGCAGGTGTTGGCAGTTAGCACTGCATGCTCGTTCTAAGAGAGATGATTATTCTGGATAATTAAATCAACTGAGTTTAGCAATACTTTCACCAAAACGCTAGTTTCAGACACTGTGGTATTTTTACACTGTTTTTTAATAAGAGTGAAGAAAATAACCATTTAGTACAATGAAATCAAAACTGATTTTCATGTCAACAAAATAAAGTTATTTTACAATGGATTCTTCATATCAGTACCAAACGACTCAAAAACAGGGAATTTGAGGAAAATCTGTTAAGAAAAAGTATATGTCAGTTTTGTTAGTTTATTTCAATATTAAATCTTTCTCACACAGATCACACATAAAACAAACCACGAGCTATGAGGGCTGTCAAGATCTGGTATGTATTTGGGATGCAGAGATCAGGAGGATTATAGTTCAAGGCCAATTTTGGGCAGAAAAATATGTGAGGCCCTCACCTCAACCAACAGAAGCTGGGTGTGGTGGTGGTGTGCACCTGTCATCCAAAGCTATGTGGGAAGCATAAATAGGAGGATCACTGTCCAAGCCAGCCCAGGCATAAATGTGAGATCCTGTTGGAAAAATACCTAAAGGGTTGGGGCATGAAAGAGTGGTAAAGCACCTGCCTAGCAAGCTCAAGCCTGTGAGTCCAAACCCCAGTTCTGAGGGAGGAGGGTAAGACATTAAATTATAGTGTATTAGCATCACAAAGTACTGGCAAACTTAAAAAAAACAAAACAAATGACTACAACGACAACATCAAAAAAGCCATACCAACCAACGAAACAAAAAGCCATTACCAACAAGCATTAGCAAGGTTAGGGAACATATGGGACTCTCATGCAAGGGTAAAATGGCAGGTCTACTTTGGAAAACAGCTGGACAGTGTCTAGTAAAGCTGAACATATGTACATGATATGACCTAGCCATGTCTTTATTAGGTAGATAGCCCACAGAGAAATGTATCCATATGCAATAGAAATATGTTCAAAAGACACATACAAGAAGCCTCATATATGAGCCTTAAACATAACACGACCATTTAGAAAGCCTAGATGGCTTTCTAAATTTATAGGCATAAATTGTGTTATCTATGTATTCTACTTTAGACTACTATATCGTATAGAAAAAGGATAAACTACTACATGCACTCACATTGACAAACCTCACAAAAATAACATTGCCCACCAAAAGTCAAACATACAAAAAGCAATAGGATCATACAACTATGTGTCAATCTATCAAAAGTTAAAAACATATACAGCTAGTTGACAGGGATGCAAGTCAGAACACAAGTACCTACATAGGAGGGAAAAGGTGGACGCCTGGGAGGCAGGATGAGGAAGGGTTAGGTGGTCATCAGCAATGCTCTTTGTCAGGAGGGTGATTAGGTGACGTCTTCACTTTTTAAGTGTCATCAAATCATCACCTATTCTAAATACATATTTAAAGTTTAAAGAGCTTCCCCCCCAAAATTCTATGTAGTTTAAAAAAAGTAAATGGATATGTAGTAATATGAAAAGATACCCCTGATATAAATGAAAAAGAGTATACTTTTATGAATATATAATTTCATGTTTTATATTTTTTATAGTAACAAAACCTTATGTAAAACCCAAGATACACAATATAAATTTCAAGCAGTAAACTTTTGCTATATTCCTACTTCTATACAGCTTTCTTCACTTTTCTATAAATATGCATCAATTTTTTAGTTTTTCATAATACAGCATATTTTGATATGTTCTATAAACATTGCAAAGTCATAAAAAGAAGTAAATTTCTTCTCTGATTCTACTATGTGAGGAACGCTATGTGAACAATTCATATTTATGTTGCTCAACAACTTTCTCTATGTATAATTATAAATTTAATAAAATAAGGAAGAGGAAGGTAATACGGACTGTCCTCCCATCTGTGTCTTTTTTTTTTTGACAGTACTGGGGTTTGAACTGGGCTTTACATGACTTGATACTTGTGAGCCATGCCTCTAGCCTTTTTGCTCTGGTTATTTTAGAGAAGGTCTTACTTTTTGTCTAGGTTGGCCTAGACCAGATTCTCCTAGTTTATGCTTCCTGTCATAGCTGGAATGGCATGCACACCCATACCAGGTTTTTTCCATTGAGATGGGGGTCTCACAAACTTTTCTGGTGGGACTGGGTTTGAACTCAGGGCTTTGACCTTGCAAAGTGGACACTCTTACCACATGAGCCATACCTCCAGTCTATTTTGCTGTGGATATTTTGGAGATGGGTCTTTCCAACTATTTGCCAGGGCTGGTCTTGAACTGAAACCTCCTGATCTTAGCTTCCCAAGTAGCTAGGAGTACAGGCATGAGTCACTGGTGCCCAGCCCTGTAATTTTTTTTTTTGTCTGGGCTATCCTGAAACTGATCCTTCCAAACTCTGCCTCCCAAATAACTAGGATTACAGGTGAAAGCTACCAGCATCTTGTCTGTCTCATTTTTTTGTGTGAGTAAGAAACAAAGTTCTTCTCTATAAATTTAATATCATCTTCATATAAAAATGTAGAAAACAAATCAATAAAGCAGGTAATTTTTTCAGAAGTGGTACTATAAACAACCAACCAAGCTCCCTGCCGCCAAAGAAAAAATGTAAAATAGTGCATTTTATAGTGATTTTTCTTTGCAGCCTGTTGATGGGTAAGGTTCCTTGAACTCATCCTTGAGGGACTGCTTTGAGACTTCATTTGAGCTTGTCACCCAAAGATCCATCAGCTTATTACCGTCAGCTTTGCTACTTCCCCTTAGCAGAAAATTTCCCTTACTTCCTCCCTGCTTTCCACTGCTGAAGAAAATGTCTTTGTCCACAAGTTTTAACTCCTCAAAACCTCTTCTTTTCTATCCTTTATAGAGAAGTAAAATTTACATATATACATACATATATACGTATATATGTATATATATACATACACACACACACACACACACACACACACACAGAGACAGAGAGAGAGAGAGAGAGAAAGACAGAGAGAGACTGACTAAAACTAATCCCTGCTTAATTTCTTTCCTGTAAGAAAGCAGTAACGTTGTATCAAAGGAGGGAAAAGCCTTTATGCCAGCCCCATTCACATTATTTTCTGAGCTCCAGCCTTATCAGGCTCTTTTCAGTATCTTAAGTATCATTCTCCTTTTCACTAGAGCATTGTCCACCATAATCCAGTCTTCTCTAGTCTAATACTGTGCTATAAATTTAAATGCTTTATTTTTCTCCCATTTCCTATGGAGTGTGACATTACTAACCACTCACCCAACCTTCATCCTTGAAGAGCTGGATGCAACTCCTCCAAGGCATCTTTTCAGTCCGCTTCAAGGGCTATTTTGCAAGCTACCCATGTTAAGAGGACACAGGGTTCCATCTTTAAGCATCTTTTCTCACTCTACATACAATTCCTTTACTCATTTCAATTATCAATAATTATGATTTTAATGCAAGAAACTTAAAAAAAACTAGAGTGAAATAAAGGTGTTTAATAAATGTGTCTACAGGAGATGTGATGTTTCTAAAGAGTTCACTAAAACAAGAGAAATTATATAAAAACACTCTGATTGGAATGCATTATTATTATTTTTTTAACTGCTGAGCAATGTCTAGTAGCTACTGGCTAAAAAAAACTGAGGAAATGGGCAGGCTGTGGTCATCAGTCCTAGTTAGTCTCCTGGTCTCCAACACTGCAGCAAGGCTGATCTA